GTGCTGGCATTTACAGTGGGGTGGGTGCTGCGTTAGGCACGTACGCTGTCTCATTACAACACCTGTCCTCCTAAGGTTGGCATTATCCACCCTCAGCTTTGTTAGCTTTGTCTGTAAGAGGAGGAGAAGTAATCTGCCCAGGTTTGTGTCGCTGGTGGGTGGTGGAGCTGGGATTTAAACTTAGCTGCTTTCTCAAAGAAGCTGCATTTTCTTTGCTTCATGTTGCCTGCCTCACAGTGAGCCCATCAGTTTCTTCTTCCCTCCCATATCCCCAGTTTTCTGTTTCATGAAACTTTTTGCATATTTGCACTTTTTACAGACCTCTTAAAATCTCTACTATTTTTGTAGTTAAGTTTTGAAATCTGAAAGTGTAGTCCTCCAACTTGGCTGTTCTTCCTTAAGATTGCTTTGGAATCTAAAATCTCTGTCAGAAAAAGTTGGGGTACAGTTAAGTAAGTGACTTTATATATTTATCACTGAAGATGCCAGTTAGCATGGAAGGGCAGCAACTGAGGAGGAGGGAAGCATAGGGTCTTAGAGAATCGAATTCCAAGTCTTGTATAGTCTCTAGAAAGACTTTCTGAATAAAATGGATTTTTCAGATATGCCCTTGAAAACAGTGCCTAGTGAACAATGACTTTTTACTACACTATCATTAAAACACTTGGAAGATTTCCCTTAATGCCAGAAAGGATAATTTTGCTTTGAGAAGGTTTCAAGTGTTGTGAATAATGTGTGAATGAATTTGTCTTCCAAAAGAGCATTTTAATACTGAAAATATTTTCCTTGAGATCAGTTGTATCAATTTCTACTCAAGTAAATCACACATTGTATTTTTTTACTCTTAAAAAATGAGTTAGCTTTCAGATGGACATGATCTTGTATATAGGGAATCCTGAGGAATCCACAAAAAGTATTACAGCTAATAAATTAATTCAGCAAGATCATAGTATATAAGATTAATATAAGAAAAATCAGTTATATTTCTGTATACTAGCATCGAACAGTTCAGAAATTAAATTAAGAAAAAAACCTATATATAAGCACCAAAAATAATAAAATACTCGGGAATAAATTTAACAGAAGAAATGTATGACACATACACTGCAGACTATAAAATATTGTTGAAAGAAGTTAAGGCTTAAACAGAGGGACACCCTTTGTTTATGGATCGGAAAACTTTATATTGTGAAGAAAGCAAGACTCTCCAAATTGATCTACAGAATCAGCTCAATCCCATTAAAATCCTACTTGGCTTTTTGCAGGAATTCATGAGTTGATCTTAAAATTCGTATGGAACTATAGGAGACCCAGAATAGCCAAA